TTATTTTTCTTGAGCCTGTCTCTGTTTTCACGCTGGAAAAAAAATGTCTCCAAAAATTTATGGCATCAAATTTGTGGGAAACAATTCTTTCTAATTTTTATTAACATCTATTAACAAAACAGAGCAGAGCTTCCAGGTCCTTATTGCCAAGATTTACAAAGGGGTTCCACCAATTATTTCACTGGCTTGCTCTGTCTTAAATGAACTGTTTATTCTGACTCTGATGTCAATTCTGAAAACTACTTCCTAGCCAAATGTTTTAGACACATGAACGGATTTAATATTCTTGGATTTTCCCCCCCAAAAATAATAAAAAGTATACTAACATTCTCTTTAAAGTGCCCTAATTAGTCATAAAATCTTACTAAAGCTATATATTATTGACTAATTGCGTCAGACTTCATGGTGTTAGATGACATGTTGATGTTCTATATTAGTTCTAAAATTGGATGAATGTTTCTGATGTGAGTGGTCCTCAAATACTGATAGGAGAATCACACAGTGTGCATGTGATAAAGACCCAGTTCTTCAAACCCCAGACTGAACCATATCCAATTAGGATCAGGCCCAAGATTTAACAAGTACTTATCTGAGAGCAATGCTTTAAATAGCCAACTACTAGGTGTAGCCTGTGGAGGGAAACCATGGATCTCTTCATTACTCCTTCCTGTTAGTTGCCCAATAAGTAGTTTTTGTTAATGATTATTAGCACTTCAATAAATGTGAATTGTTTAGACTCATTCTATGAGAAAATATTAATAAAGGGTGGTAACAAATAATTTTCATAATTGTTCAGTAGGCATTTACTGCACACTAAATTGTACAAATAGAATAAGATGCTTTCTTGAGCAGTATATTTAAAAGCACTACTAAATACTTCAAAAAGTATAAATAATATCCATGCTAGAGTGAATAGTGAATAATATTTAGATTAGATAAATTAATAATAGAACACAGGTGAGGGCCAGTGTGCATATGAACGATGTAATGCTTAAAATAGTGTCTCTCATATTTGAGGGACATCAGAATCACCTAGTGGGGTGATTAAGCCAAAGCTGAGCCCAACCCTCTGGGTGCCTGATGCCACTGCCAATGAAAGGACCAAAGACCTTAAATTTCTAATAAGTTCCCAGGTACACTGATGCCCTGTTCAGAGGACCACACATTTATAGATGTGCTGTATAGAGGCTACAAACTACTGATGCAGAGCAAGTGACCAGAAGTACCGTGGGCCATCAGTGTTAGTAGAGAGCAAGTGACCAGAGGTACCGTGGGCCATCAGGGTTAGTAGAGAGCAAGTGACCAGAGGTACTGTGGGCCATCAGGGTTAGTAGAGAACAAGTGACCAGAAGTACCATGGGACATCAGGGTTAGTAGAGAGCAAGTGACCAGAAGTACCATGGGCCATCAGTGTTAGTAGGGAGCAAGTGACCAGAGGTACCATGGGACATCAGTAGATTTCAGGATGCTATTAGCTGTGGAGTTCTACTCATCATCACCCCTTTGATAAGATCCCCAGAACCCTAGTCTTTAAAAACAGATAGGAAGGATGACTACTCATGGAAAGGGAGGCGGCTATGGTTTATGGAACATAGTTTTATACATGTTCTTTCTACATGTACACTGAAAGGTATTCTTCACCTACACAGTACCATAGACAACTGTTTTGAAAACCAAGAAAAATAAATCCAAGAAAGGGGCCAACATGCCAAAATTACACCGAAATTTCTAGAAAGATGTAATTATAGTCTTCTCTTAGTGTGTGGTGGTTGAGTGAGGAAACCATTTTAACTACTCACTACGAATACAAAGAAAGTCCAGAAATCAAACTGACATAGTGTTTAGAGCCCACACTTTAAATCTTTGTAGATTGTTTACAATAACTAATACAGCATAAGTGCCATAAAACTAGCTATCACACCACATTGTGTAGAGACTGGCGACAAGAAAAGGTCTGTAAATGTTCAGTACAAAAGTGTTTTTGAATACTTTCAGTCAGTCATTAATTACATGTATGGATTGAACAGTTGTGAAGGACCAATTGTGCTTGGTGCCTTTATTTTGCTAGTTTTGACTGTCTAACCTTATATTTCCTCCTTTACCTTATACTGTTATTAACTTTCCATATTTCATGGCCAAAACTAAATCTGTATCTGTTTAATGACTATGCTGTTGATTCAAATTATGAACTTACCCAATTAAATCTGTGGTGAATTACTGAGTTTCTTGTGAGAAATGTGCCATTTAGAACAACAGTTATTGAAGACAAAAAAAAAATCCCTTAAAAATCTGGTCAGTTCATCTTCAGAACCTTTGTGTTCTTGTTAGCCCATTACAGAGGCCCTCTGAATTCCCACCGTGGTCAGCCGTGTTTGCTGTTGGTTCCTCCTCACCTTCTGTTTCCTGTGATGCTTAGGAACTTGGCTTCTAGGTTCTAAGAAAGCATTTCTTTGTAAAGAAGGCATTTGGTAGATCCTCCATGGAGAGGATGCTCTTCCCTTCTCATTTATTTATGTTCTCCTGTGAAAAAAAAGAGAGAAAGTTATAACAGGAAGAATAACAACAGGTGTATGTTTCAGGTGTCCTGCTGGGGAAGAAGCCATCTCAGCTGGTCATGTGTGGCCCAGATGGTGCCCCATACCACTTTTGCTGTGACCAGGACTTCACTTGCTTCTGGAGAGTAGGTAGAAGAAAGCACACTTCAGTACACTGTCTATCAGGAATATACATCCACTCATGGGATAAAGCACATGATCTGATTTCCTGAATTCACCATGTAGGAAATCCTCCACTGGAAAGTTACCTCTTTATCAACAATCAATTTAACTGAGTTTTGTGTTTTTGTGTTTAATCATTATTATCTTTAAGCACGTAAGACAGTGTCTCACCTAACGCTTATTTTGGGAAGGCATTAAAATTAAAACCCAGAAATTCAGGGTTCTAGTCTCACATCCACCATTTAGTAGCTCAACACTCTGTTCCTCAATTGCACGTCAGTAAACAGGGACTCAGGCCTTGCTTTTCTACATAGGGTTTCAGTTAAAGCCAAATGCTACAGTGTACATATGAACACTTTTAAATTGTGAAGCTCCGTATGAATTGACAGCCATTAGTTCCTGTTATTTAATAACAAAATTGCCTTTTTACTGTTGTAACATGTGTTTGCCTTCTTTGCCAATCATACTTCTTAACAAAGCTTCCATAGCCAAAGTCTAGAACTCTCTCTAAGTGCTGCTGTTAGGGACAATCTCAACATCAGCTGTTCAGTCAGTCAATCAATCAGTGACAGGGTAGTTCAGTGGTAGAGTGCTTGCCTACATGCAAGGGGTTCGATCCCCAACACTACCAAAAATAATCAACCGACATGACAATACAACCCTGAAACAATCCTTAGTCACTGTTTGGTACAATGAATTCTAAACAATTATTTTGAGAAATGCTTTGTTCACACAAAATCCAGTGTAGAAACCCAGTGTGTGGTACAGATGGAGACAAAGCACCTCCTGAAGGAGGCAGGGTTTTGTGGAACTTGCATGCACCTTCCAAGACTTCTCTTGTCCTTCGGGGCTCATTGGAACACTGCTCTTGAGGCCCACAGGTGAGGGGTCTGCTCATGTTAATAAGACAGCATCAATGTCCAAAATCTGCTGCTGAGCAAGTGTTGCTTGCAAACGAAGATTTCTGTTGAAATGTTGCCAACAGTAGGACTGTTGTCCTTTGAAGCAAGTGGTTTCTGTTTTCCTGATCAAAGCACCTTGAAAACTTAACTTTCGATGAGCACATGTTCAACTGGCCACGGCATTACAATGGTGTAGAAAAGCTCTGGGGGGTCAAAATGGGAGGGCGAGTGGACAAGACAGTCTGTAAGTTCATGAGGCTGATGTAGAAGGGATTTAGTGTCAAATACGGCTAATGTATAATTTACAGGTGGAGAACTGAATCTCTTCATGAAACAACTGTAAGTGGGTCAAACACACTTATCAACAGAAACAGTAATTCCCTAGCCATTCTTGACACTGAATCCAGATGGAGCATGTGTTGCTCTTTCTGTCATTTGCTTTAAGTGTCATTCAGTTTTTCAAATGATGTGGCAATTTTAGCAGATTCACTAATTTAATATAAATTTTCATTTTGTTCACTGGACTGAATATTGTGATTTATAATTGAGCATATTAGAAATTTTTTTTTTTTTTTTTTTGGTTTTTCGAGACAGGGTTTCTCTGTGTAGCTTTGCGCCTTTCCTGGAACTCACTTGGTAGCCCAGGCTGGCCTCGAACTCACAGAGATCCACCTGCCTCTGCCTCCCGAGTGCTGGGATTAAAGGCGTGCGCCACCAACGCCCGGCTAGAAATTATTTTTAAAAAGTATTCATACACCAGAATGAGGGAAAAATCTAGAAGCATACCAATCAATGTAAGTCACATTTTAACTTAAAAATAATTGTAAATATTCATGACACAAGTTTCAGAAAAAAGGCAAGGTTTCTGAGTGATCATATTGTTTAGTTTTGTATCTGCTGGTCCCGAAAGTAGTTCTCTAGAAAGTCACTGACTCCCCTAAGAAAGTAAGACAGTTTAACATTTTCTGAGTCTAACTTGCAACTAATCTCTCAGCTAAAGCCATCTGCAAAATCCATTAACATAGAAAAATGACTCTTAAAACTTAAAAAAAAATTAAATAGGGCAGTATAGCTGTGGTCTCTGATATTTATTTTAGACATATTTTGATGCAGGCATATCTATATCTCTTAACTTTAGGAACCAAGAAGCTGTAGTGCTTTGAGTATTCCTCAAATATAACAAATACATCCTGAGATGATAATTTCATAATCTGTTAATAATTTTATAATTAATACATAATACTCCATAAATTATATTTTCTTCAAACAATAGTTGACTAACTTTTGTTCTTTGAGAAACTATACCAGGAAAAAGAGCAAGGTCACCCGAGAGCTTGCAGCTTAAAGCACAACGAGCTAACTTACTTTTTCTTTGCCAAAGTTTCAGACCCAAAGCTTACGTCTGTCAGACCAGCACAGGAAATCGCACCTGTGGAGAGGAATCGTCAGCATCACCCTGATTGAGGGCCGAGACCTCAAAGCAATGGATTCCAATGGCTTGAGTGATCCCTATGTGAAGTTCCGGCTAGGTCATCAGAAGTACAAGAGCAAGGTAGGTCTCCATCGTCCATGCTGTCACTGCTGGGAGGGCACGGACTGGCTAGTAGCCGGGCTTCAGGACAGGTGAACAGTGAAATGAGAACTTTGGAATATCATGTCGGAAGCAGAGCTGCTGGTCTGTGCCCGAGTGGCCTTGAGTGAGGAGGCACTCTGCTGTTCTGTCTCAGTGCCTTCATCTTTACACAGGAACCAGCTCTCTGCACATTTGCGAAATTTAAGAGAAAAAGGCAACACTATCCCAGAACGAGTAGAGCGTATCTCCACACAGAAGTGCTGAGGGCGTGGACCAGCACCAACACTGCTGGCATTGGTGATACCGACATTATTTTGCATTCAGTGAAAGTCTTTCAAATTAATCTGTGTCATGTTATCCAATCCTACTTTGATCAATACAACACCAAAGGCATTTTAAAATTGTTTTTGCATTTTTGTTTAATCATATAACTTTCTAGTTTTATATTCTACTTCAATAAAATGTACAATTACATTCACATCTGTTCTTCCTCCCCTCCCAGTTCTGCCAATCATTTTCTTCTTCAAATTGATTCCCCAACTTGTTCCTCTCTTCCCTCCTTCCCCCTCTCCCTCCCTCCCTCCCTCCCTCCCTCC